CTCTCCTCCGCTCCCCAGCGGCCGGGCAGGGCACCCCGAGGTCTCAGAGTCAGGGGTGCTGCCTGGTCCTGGGGGGAGGGTCACACCGCCCCTGCAGCCACCCCCCCTCCAGCGACGCCACTCCCCCCACGGAGGGCGGATCTGGGGTCCGGTCCTCAGGCCAAGCGCCCCGCCTTGGAGATGCCCTCTCAGGGAGCCCAGAACCGGGCATGTGCTCAGGAGGAAGACAGAATGCCTGGCTCTGAGGATCCGCACGGGCTGAAACCGCACACTCCCATCTTATCAGGGAAACGCGTTTATCTCGGCCAACATTACCTTTTTAAAAAATGTTTCTTTGACTTCGGAGAGAGGAAGGGAGAGGGAGAGAGAGAATCTGCTATGGGCTGGGCTGCCTCCTGCTCACCCCACACTGGGGTGGAGCCCACAGCAGCACATCCTATATAATAAAAGGCTAATATGGGAAATGACCAGTCGCTATTGCACACTAACCACCAGGGGGCAGACGCTCAACGCAGGAGCTGCCCCTGGTGGTCAGTGCTCCAGAAGCCGGGCTCACAGCTGGCGAGCACAGCAGCAGTGGGGAGAGCCTCTCCCGCCTCTGTGGCATCCTCCAAGGGCTCCTGGACTGCGAGAGGGCGCAGGCTGGGCTGAGGGACCCCCCCCCCAGTGCATGAATTCCGTGCACTGGGCCTCTAGTGTCATAAGTGTGCATAGCAACAAGTGTCCCTAGACGTCCACGTGACCCATCGTGAGGCATGTAAACGTCCCATCACTGCGTGGTACACCCGAGACTAAGGTCATATTGTTTGCCAGTCACACTTGGGTTTAAAGATGTTCTTAGACCCCTGGAGTCAGCAGGGCCTCTCCGCAGCCACCCGGACGGGACGTCACAGGTGTCCTTTCAGACCTGAGGCCCCGAGCAAACGTCTTGTGGTTCACACTCAGCTTCGGCTGACTCTCAACCAAACACATCCCTGGCGCCGTGCTCGCCGCTTTAAAGGACGCCCGTGTCCTTTCCCCCTTTTCCTCCATCTCAGTGGAGAGTGTGAAGCAAAAACAAGCAAATAAATAAGAACATCAGTTCCACGCAAACAGCTTTGTAACTGGTTTAATTTTAAGGCGTGTGGCGTTGGTGAGATCACGGTTAACATCTGAAAGTGCCAGGTTAGCAGTGGTGACAGAGGGCAGTCCATGCACGTACCCAGTTTGAAGGTGACATCGCAAAAGTCACCTTACACATCCGGCTCCTAAGCAGCAGTGACGCGTGCACTGGTGACACGTGCAGACGCCGCGACTCTCCTTGGACGTTGCTCGCTGGGTCCCAGACCAGTGAGACCCCATCTGACTCTCCTCCAAATGCCCCCATGGCGCGGACGCGGTCTCTCTCTTTAATGAGAATTTGAGCGGGAACCACAGGCCCCCATCCGCTCTCCAGGAGGGTGTCTGAGATGCGTGTCCATGTCAGAGGAAGGCGGGCAGGTAACACTGAAGCCCTGGGAGGTCTTGTCCTCCCGCCTGGGGCCTGAGCGGAGCCCCACCGGCCCACATGGAGGGCTGCGGGGACGCGGGTGGGGAGCCCCGGCTGCCAGAAAGCTCTGCCTCAGTGGTTTCCACTTCCTCCCAGCCCAGCCGGTTACCAGAACCGCCGCCGTCGCCGTGAACTTCATCTCTCTGGGTTTTCCCCGTCCTGGCCTCGCGATGACATGACAAAGGGCAGAGCAGAGGCGAGAACCAGGCGGGCCCACGCGTCACTGAACAGGCGCAGTGCGGGGCTTAGAGAGAGCAGCCGTGGGCTGGGATCGAGGGCTCGATCCACCTGTAACCCAGGGCAGGGAACTCTCCCCCTGCGGCTGTGGCTGAGTCCCCCTGGGGGCAGGTCTCCGTGTGAGGGGAGCAGGGAGGGGAGGGGAGCAGGGCTGGGATGCAGGCACCCCTGGTCGGCGGGCTCCCCTGGGCCCTGAGGTGAGGGCATCATGGTGGCAGAGCGGGGCCAGCGCAGCTCCTGGTCCCTGCCAGTCCCTGCGGGTCCGTGGACTCCCCCGCTCTCCACCCTGGAAACCCCGGCGGCAAGCACCTCCCTAGCCCTGCATGGCCGGTCGGTTTGTTCTGGGTCCTCCACAGTGATCACCGAGGCATCACAAGGGGCCCCCTCACCACTCCTTCAAAATAATGTACTGCAGTATCACGCAGGAATGACGTGTGGGGGAGGGGCCAGGC